ATGAAAGAGTTAAGAAAAAAAATTCAAGCCTTGAGTTGCAATAGTGAAGGATTCTATTGGTAAAACATTGAATAATGCATGAAGCATCAAATGAAGGTAGAAAAAGAGTCATTGTATCAAAAAGTATTGTTCTATGTTCAACCATTTCAGAAGCCAACATATGATGAAGAACCAATGGTTTAAAGGAAGAAGTCCAAGTTACACTGAAGGCACTAGAGTTTATGCAATGCCCATTTAGATATTTCAACAGGTAGATGGAATGCTGGAAGCAATTATTTATGCTAAGAAATCTGGGGATAGTTACCTAGCCAACTGCACTTGAAAGTTACATATTTATGCCCTTTGCAAAGAAAGGTGATCTTACATAATGTGGAAATTGCATAATTATCAAACACAAATAAAATTTTGCAGAAGAAATTCAAAAGTGGTTGCAGTAGTCCATTTGCAAGAACTACCAGAAATTCAAGCCAGATTCTGGTGAGGATCTAGAACAAAGAATACCACTGCTGATGTCAGTTGGATCTTGGCTGAAAGCGGACAATACCAGGAAGATGGTTATTTGTGTTTTATCAACTACACAAAGATGTGTTACTGTTTGGTTAATACTAAACTTTTTACAACACTGTGAAAAATGGAAATCCTACTTGGTGCTCATTCTGAGCCTGTACATTAACCAAGGAGGCATCTGTCCAGACAGAGAGGAGACGGGACCATTTAAAATCAAGAAAGGTGTGTTTATCAGGGTTGTAATATTTCATCATACTTATTTACTCTGCATGCTGAGCAAATAACCTGAGAAGCTTGACTCAGGAAGGTCAGTGTCTGGACCCCCTAGTAAGTACAAGATACAAAGTCCTCTAAAAGGAATAGAATGAAGTTCCAAGAAGGCTACCAGAGAGGATGTGACAGCAGATCCCACCTGAGGATTAGAGGTAGGTTGGCTGAGGCTAAGTCCATGACCTACAGGCAAGCTCTTCTGCATTTGGGGTCAGAGGACTCCAAGAGAATAAGACTTGATTCATTTCTTCCATTGGACTCTAACCAATTAATAGCCACATCACTGAATAGTTGAAGTTAAATACAGAAAACATAATCTCTCTTGCACAAGGTACAGTTACGCAAATTAAAAACAGGATTGTGGCAGCATTGTTCATTCACAGATATCCTCTTGGGCATTTGTCATGTTCTTCCTCCTTCTTTCCTTTCCAACACATTTGTTTCTGCTATGAAGAACCTACAGTTCAGATACGTCACAAAAGGTGCACTCATGTTCCTCCTCCAGAGTTCTCTAGAAACCTTAGCTACAAAACTAACTAAAAGATGTCTCAGTTCTTCTTGCTAACGTGGCTTACACACATCATAAGATTACTTGATTTCTTTAAAAGGAGCACATTCATTTGAAAGATAAAATATTTTTGTGTAATAAATATACTTGAAGTACAGCTACAGTGTTAAGACAGAGTGGCTGTTTCAGCAGATGAAAGAGAAGCTGAAATGCAGCTCCATGGATTGTGCTGAGGTTGATTTAGAAAAGCAGTAAAGTTTCAAAGACAGAAAGATGGACAGAGCAGGTGGGGAAGGAAACATGTCATTCATGGAGCACTGGTAACACAGCTGAACCCCAAAGAGGAACATGAGGTCGAAATGTATTTTATGATCAACACGTGTGTTAAAGCAAACCAATGACTTATTTGTTCAATATGTGAACAACTAAAAGTTATCAATTTTCAAAAAGGGGCACCAAAACCTTAAAATGTGATAGATTTAAACTTCATATGCAGCCCCTTCTTTTCTGCTAACCATTCATCCAAAGTAACGGGAATTTTGCTTAGGGCCAATTGTTTGAGAGGATAAGGCAAGATTCTCTTACTATTAAAACCCAAAGCAGTATCAATTCTAACTCACAGTTATCCGGATATTGTTGTTGAGTACCCTCGAGTTGGAATCGATCCAGCGGATTTTCAGAGGTAGTGAATCCCATGGGAGGAGACTGCCCATCCTTCTTCTCCAGAGTAGCTGGTGGATTCGAACCACAGGTTTTTGGAACTGCAGCACGGCTTCTCACCTCTAGACTAGAAGAGCTCCCTAGAGCACAGAACAGAAACTCTCTATAGAGTTTCCACCACTGTAAATCTTTAATAAGGGAGCAGATTGCCACATCCTTCTCCTGTAAAGTGCTAGTAGGTTTCATTCTCTGACCGGCTATTAAGCAGATGAACACTTTAATCACTGCACCACAGACATCCTCTTTTTACTACTGCCGTTTTTGAAGTCCAGTTCCTGTATATGCAGAATCAAGGATCACCTGGGTCTTAACAAAATTCCAGAGTCTCCAAAACATGAGTTGTGAGTCCCTGAAATGTGTATTTCAACAAGCCCTCCAGGCAATACAGAAGCGTGCTCAAATTGGAAACTACATTTCCCTTAAACACTATGGTCAAACAAACCTATAGTATTACTCCCTCAGAGGTCACATACATTTTCATAAATTACTGTACATCTACAGAGAAAACCAAAATACAGAAATGTTGGCAAAGGAACCCTATCAAATAAAAGGAGAGTTTCCACTGCTTTAATGCACTCTGGTCTTGCTACACATTTTTCAAGGTCGAGAGATACAGATATGAGCGGCGCATTTCATCCTCCTTTATGTGCATATTGACCTAGGAAATGAATGTTCCAGATGAATGGAAGCTACATATAAATCTGAAATGTAAACATGGCAGCAGAGAGGTCCTGATCAGCAAAGATAAAATGGCTGTCTCTTCAGGCTGAAACCACCCAAATAGCCCAACTGTGTAGAAGTGAAATAGCAACACATTTCTATGAAAGGCTCTGTCACTGTGTTCAAGCCTTCAGCGATGACCAAGCCCAGAAAGGATAAGGACTTCCTGCTCTGAATGACTACATCAGCTAACTGTATCAATGTCCCAGTCCCATGAACTTACACCTGCCACTCAGAGGCAGGGAGGCAAGAACGACTCCCTGACCTTGAGTTAAAAGCCATGCGGCCCCAGATGGAGAGTTTTGCTCAGGAAGTGCTTGGAATTTAATCCTACTTTGGTAATTGGATTGATAATGACCTAGATCTCTCTCACTCCATGAGAATGTGTAGCATGTGGCTTTCTCATTCGGAATGACACCATCCAATAAAGAGCCATCATAGAATGTGTTCCACAACATCCAAACTCCATAAATAACCGCTGCCAGGGTGTCCTCACACTGGACTACAAATTGGATGTGTGCTGAAGAAAGAAGCCAGTGTTAACAGTAGATAAATGGCCGTATGGACAGAGAGGAAGTCCCTAGCTGAACAATCTCAGATGCTCATAAAAGTAGGCATCTATCAACTAGATTCAAATAAGTCTTGGTGGAATCGGTAGCCAGATGTGTCTAAAGAACACTCATCAGTGAACTACTGCTTAAAATGAGATCATAGCCAACATGAAGGGCCTAGCATAGTGCCTGGCTCACAGCATGCATTCAACAGTGGCCAGTACCTTTGCTGACCTTCTGCAATGACACTTTTACAATGGAAAGCGTGCCTACATCTTTCAGCGCTCATGAAGAAACCTCAGTCTCTAAAAAGCTAGAGAATGACATCACTCACTGGAACTGTTCCCATTCCGTAGTAATTCTGACACCAGGCCAAATGCAGAGGGTGTGAAGAGCTAGGTAAGTGTTTTCTCCCTTCCCACCTCCAGGGCTAGCTATGGAGAACCCCCTATGAATGCAGCAGCCACTGTGTCCTTGAGCAGACAGCACACAAAAAGCACTGCACTCTGAAACTCAACTCAAGTTTCAAAACAGGGAGCCATAGTGCTAGGAATAAGGGGATTGACAGCATAAAAAAATTACTTGCTTTTTTTACCATAAATCTAATAGTTTTAATTATCAAAATTTTATTCTTCAAAGCCTTAATTAGACTGTCCCACATAATGATGTTGAAACTGACGAATCACTGTTTTGCCCTCAAAGTCCATCAGGGTCTACCACTAGAGAGAGAGAGAGAGAGAAAGACAGAGAGAGAGAGAGACAGAGACAGAGAGAGACACAGAGACAGAGAGACACAGAGAGAGGAAAGACACTCCACCCAAAACAAATAAATGACAAAATACTCGAGCACAGTATTATTTAGAAGACAAGGAAATGGTTTGTATGAGAACATCTGGCAATTTCAGTGAAAAATAAGACCACTTACTTTTAATGAGAAATTATTTCCTCTTCATTTCCAAGAAAACTAGTTCTGTGGACCCTTTCCCTCTCACATAATGCAGCATGAAAACTCACATATGATTAATTGAAAGCCAATAGCAAGAAGCAAGCTGTCATCAGTGTTTTTTTAAAAACACACACTCAAAAACCCCCAATCACCAAAAACAAATCCATTTGGACTGCTCTTTAAGGCTTATTTTAAGCAATCTTTTATTCGACATATAAATGAATTTTAGCCATAATTCTACTCTTTTAACCACACTATTTTTAAACATTTGCTTTATATTTGGTGGATTAAAAGAACTACCTGTTTAATCTGATTTTTCCTCTTCATAATGAGGTTTAGTTGGTTCCACCATTCCGGTACCAAAGCTCTAAAAACCCTGGGCTCCAATTCTCCTCAATTCCTAAGTGTTCATGTTTTCTCCATTGCAATTATTGCAAAGGTGATGGAAACGCAGGTTGAATGAGCAGATTTTAAACTGGATGATTTAAATGGTTTCATACACAAATCTGTGATCAATAGATTTCTTAGAAAGCTGGAGTCACTAATTTGCATATATTTTAACTATCTTAGGTAGAATAAAACCATGCTGAGAATATAAAAAGAAACACAACAGTTACTAGACAAATGCCCATCATATCTGTTCTTCCCATTATCAAAGCGGGGGGCGGGGAGGGGGAAATTGAAGGCTGTTACACCAAAATTAAAAGGATTTTTATAAATTTCAACAAATGGTGGAAAGCTTAAGAATATATAATTTAAGACCAGCAGCTCCTCCTACCAGTGTGCTTGGAAACCGCATTTAATCTCTGCACCATTTCTTCTAGGGCCATTTCTTCATTTCTCAGCCAAAACCTCATCCTCCGATAAAACAAAAATGATCCACAGCAGATATGTTTTCCTCTGCACCAGAAGGGTTTCTCTCTCTCTCTTTCTTTCCCTTTTGATGGGTGGGGTAGAGGAGTGGGGAGGGGGCACCGTGGACTGGGAGGGAGGGAGGAAGGAAAGGATGGAGGGAGGGGGAGCTACAGCAGTGCTTCTCAGCCCTGCATCTCAATGACTTCCCACGATTGGTCCCCGAACCAGCAGAGAGAGGGGTGCGCGGCTCCGAGCCTGCGGAATGTGAGGCTCGGGCTTGGCGGAAGCGGAAGCAGCTCGCAGCCTGTCGTGAAAGCGCATCCCATCCCGGGCACCTAGAACTTGCATCCTCTCAACTTCAGGGGTCCTCGGCTTGCAGAGCCCGCCTTCCCACCGCGCAGGGGCGCAGGTCCCCCCGCAGGCGCCCTCCCCACGCCCGCCCCTGGAGGATCGCGCGAGCCTGAGGGACCCGCACAAGCTGCAGCGTGAGGTTCCCCCCACCGCCCCTGGTGCAGCACCTGGGCCCATCCCCCACTGCGTTACCTCCTTACCTCCGGCCTCGCCCCTGCAGTCGCAGAGCCCGCAGCAGCCCAGCGCGGCTTCCCGACGCCGCTGCATGCCGCCTGCTGTCCCCTTGCCGAACCTGGGTCCTGGGTTGGTGGGTGGCTGGTCGTCACTCACCCAGCACTACCTGCCCCAAGGACCCAGGACGAAGTATGCGGCAAGCGAAGCGAGAGAGCGCCTGGCAGGCGCTGTGGCCCTCCGACCTCACCAGTCTCTGGCACACAGCCACTCTGTTAATTCTAAACCGTGAGGTCTCTGCAGCCATGCGTTTGGGCTGCAACCTGCAGATTTACATTTCATGACGTTCCTGGTTGTTGCTGTCTGGCAAGACCACCACCATCATGCGAATGTGCACAATACCATCTGCACAGTGAGCTGTAAAGGAGGTCTCTAGCACTAATGCACTGCCGTCCTTTTGCTCTTTAGCATCATAGGGTTTTTTTTTTTAATAAGGGCTCATGGCCATTAATGGTTTGAAAAAGCATGTAGTGACTTATCAGAAAAGTACAGCGCACGTCAACAAATTTATGTGTGCCAACCTTGGCGTGCCCTGGGACTTTTTTAGACGCGGCATTGAGCCTGCAGGAGAGAGATGAAGGTGACACTGTTTTTACCCTTACAGGAAAAAGAAAGATCTGGAAACGAGTAATTAAAACATAGTATAAAAAGTGTAATAAGCGTACATAGGAAGGGTTTAGTGCATGGCTTTTATTTTTACATTGGATATCAGCAGTTTCGTAGGCTTTGAACTAATCTTGTGGGAGTTCCACAGGGGCAGAGCCAGGAGAGGTTTCACAGAGCAGAGGATGATGAACCTTCCTTTGGTGAGAACAGACATCTCCAGGGTTGCGAAGTGCTTAAGAAAATCCCAGCTGGACCTACACAGGAGCCAGACTTAAACCAGGTTTCATTTCAGTCCAGGAGCAGACTGCAAGGTGTTTTCTACAGGGCTGCTAACCTGTTCATTCTGGTTTGATCCCCTACTGAGAATATGCCTTTCCCCTCAGGTATCATGGCTCAGAATCCACAAATAAGAATCACAGAGGGAATCTGGTAAAACTTGAGGTGCTGAAGTAAATCTTCTGGGTCAGGTAGCTAACCAAAATGTCAGCAGGTCAAAAAAGGGGCACTTTGAGGAGGAAAGAGAGGCAATTTCTTCCCATTTTATAGCCAGATAGATGGGCCAATCAATGAGTCGAAATCTGCAGCCACAGATAGCACCTTGACGGCAGTGTTTGGCTTCAATTGGGTTGAAAAGGCAAGAAGGAGCTGAGCCAGAATGAGACCCCTGAAAGTACTAGTTCACTCACCAGGTTGCTTCTAACCATTGCTCAGGATGAATCACTGAAACTTTTGCCACTTAACCTCCTATGGAGTCCAAGAAAACCTTGCCCTTGGCTACACAGAAACCAAAAGTCACCAGATTGTTATTGTCGTTGGCTCCCAGCACGTTGGTTCCAACTCAGCAAGTCCACCAACAGCAGCAGGAAACACTGCCCAGTTCTGCACCATTCTTATAATCTCTGCTGGGTTTGAGCCTATTGTTGCAGTCAGTATGTCAATCCATCTCACAGAGGGTCTTCCTCTTTTTCACTGACCCTACTTCACCAAGCACAATGTCCCTCTCCGGACACTAGTCCCCCTCCACAACACATCCAAAAGATATCGTCCTGGTGGCCTGGGTGGTGAATAAGGTTGACAGAAGAATTTGATGCCTTTGAGTTGTGATACTGGAGTACAGAATATCCCACAGAATGCCAAAAGAACAGATCAGAGTGCTCCTTGGAGGCAAAGATGGTGAAGCTTTCATACTTCGGACTGTGACCAGGTGAGACTATTCATTGGTAAGGGACATCATACTTAGAAAGATGGAGGGTCGGCAAAGGGGAAGAAGACCCTCAATAAGATAGAATGACACCGTGACTTCAGCAATGGGCTTAACTCTATCAGAGATGATGCGGATGGTACAGGATAGGGCAGAGTTCAGGCTGGCTTTGCATAGAGCCCCTTGTAAGTCGTACTAGACTCAACAGCACCTAACAACAGTGGAAAGAAGCTGCACTGTAACCTGAAAAGCACAGACTTCCAGCCCATCACTTGTTCCACGGGAGAAGGATGGACAATCCCCTCCTTTGCAATTTGCTGCCTCTGAAAATCCACTATGGGTCAGTTATGGGTGGGTTCTGACACGACAGTACACACAAACATTTCTATGGATCATTCTGATTGTACTTTCAAGATAATCCGGTCAATCTTCTGGAGAGTTCTGGCAGTCTATAAACTATTTGATATGGTCTCAAAGGTCATAATTCGAAGGCATCAATTCTTTACTCTCCCTTATTCATTGCCAAGCTTTTGTATGCACATGCCTTGCCATCTAGCTGAAACCACCTCATAGCTGACCCTCCAGCAGGGAGGTACACATTGCATGGGGAGCAACTGCTCATCTTTCTCCCATGGAGCACTGGTGGATCTGAACTTCCAGAGAGAGGTTGCCTTTGGGATAGCAGCAAAACTCCCTATGAACAAAGCCACCAGGACTCCCATATACCATGACCTGGGTCAAGTTTGCCATAGTAGTCAAAGAGACATCTTTGTTTTTTCCACACTTTAAAGAAGTCTTTTGATTTGCCTAATGCAATGTCTTGATTTCCATGAGTGCTGGTTATGAATCCAAGGAAAATGAGATCCTTGACAACTTCAATCTCTTCTCCATTTTTAGTGATGTTCTTGTGAATTTGTTGATGTTGGTAAATTTGTGAGGACTTTTGTTTCTTTATGTTGACGTACAATCTACACTGACACTATAATCTTTATCTTCATCAGTAAGTGCTTTAAGTCACCTTTACTTTCAGCAAAGTGGCAGCATATGTATACTGCAGGTGTTAATGAGTCTTCCTTCAATCTTGATGCTGCTCTATTCCTTAAATGTGGTCTACTTTCTCAGATTATTTGCTCAGCTTATAGACCATAGACTGAATAAGTATGTAAAAGGATACAACACTGACATACACATTTTCTGATTTTAAACCATGCAGCATTCCTTGTTCTGTTTAAACAACTGACTGACTCTTGGTTTATGCACAGGTTCCAGATGAGCCAAATTAAGTGTCTTAGAAATTCCATTGTTTTCAATTTCTCTATAATGTGTTTTTACCTACAGCTGGATCCCTTTGTAGTCAATAAAACACAGGTGAACATCTTTCTGTTATTCTCTACTTTCAATCAAGATCTATCTGAAATCCCTCATTTCAGATCCTCTTCTGAATATAGCTTGAATGTCAAGTGGCTTTTTGTTAATACTGCAACCATTTTTAATTGTCATCAGCAAGGTTTTACTTGCTTGTGGTATTGATAATGTTTGATAATTTCCACATTGTGTTGGATCACCCACCTTTCTTTAGAATAGATAAAAACACAGATCTCTCCTAATTAGTTGTCCAGATTTCCTAGTATAGACAAGTGAGTTCTCCCAGAACAACATTGAATTGCTGCAACATTTCAGTCCCATCAATTCCTAGAGCCTTACTTTTCTCCAATGCCTTCAGTGCAGCTTGGACATCTTCATTCCCTATGGTTGGTTCTTCGGCCTATGCTACACCCTGAACTAGGAGACCATCAGCCAATTTCTTTTTAAGGATTCTGTGTTGCTTCCATCTTTCCATGCTTTTTGTATCATTCAATCTTTTTCCCAAAGAATTCCTCAATATTGAAACCTGACGATTAATTTTTTTCTTCCTTCCTTCCCTTTTTTTTTTTTTAAGAACACTGAGTGCATTCTTTCCTTTTTGGTTTTCTAACTCTAGGTCTTTTGTTATAACATTTTACTTTTGCACCAGAGATTAGTACCCTCAAGTACAGGCCCTACTCAGCCCCACACTCCTCTGCCACTGTCTTCCCAGTTGATGTCGATCAAGAGGACCTACATTTGTCCTTGGCTAAAAACTAGGCCCCAGGTCACATTCCTTTAGATTTCCCAACATACCTTTATCCAGCATCTCCTCTGGCACTTCCCCCTCCAGCATGTAAGTGGACTCAGTCCAGAGATCTTAACTTTCAGCTGCATGGAAATCACCTGGAGCACCTGATCAACTCAAGTAGTTTCTGGTTCAGCAAGTCTAGGTGGGGCCTGACCATCTGCATTTTTAACAAGTTCCCAGGGGTCTCTGAAGCAGCACCAGCACACTAATGACCACTGCTTAAATCTATGCCATTAAAAAAAAAGAAGAAGAAGAAGAAATATGGTCCATCATACTTTTACTGATCTCCTTTCCCTTTATAGGCTGAAAATTTCTAGTTACACTTTTAGCTTCTTTCATCAACCGTTTACTATTTCCAGAACCTCCTCTGGCTAAGTCCATGGCAGTGGTGAAGCTGCTGCCTCTGTAGCTGATTCAGTGACCATGTCTGCTGATCTCCTTAGACCTCTAAGGAGTCT